TGTGTGTGTGTGTGTGTGTGTGTGTGTGTGTGTGTGTGTGTGTGTGTGTGTGTGTGTGTGTGTGTGTGTGTGTGTGTGTGTGTGTGTGTGTGTGACACCCCTCGTGTCTTTTCTTCAACACATGTTCCAACATATAACAAGTAAATATAATTGGAAAAAAATATCAGCTTTTCCTCTTCTTCAGCGTACGATGGAGAGAGAGAGAGAGAGAGAGAGAGAGAGAGAGAGAGAGAGAGAGAGAGAGAGAGAGAAGTGAAGGGTTATCCCTCGGGATATCCACCGTGGAATCGCACCGCGGAACGTGAAATTTGGCAAATTGAATTAGAAAGTTGGGTCGGTTTCCCTCTTGGACGCCGAGTTGTTTGTGTTTGTTTCTCGTATTCGAATTAGGCTTGGACCCCTAAACTCCATCTCTCGATACGTACCGGGTGTGTCGAAATTAAAAAGGAAGCGAAATTAAATTCTTAAAAATTTCACGCAGCTGAAAGCGGTAGAAATTCGGTATCAGATATTTATATAATGGAAGAGGGTAGAAAATAAACGGGTATTTTCGTTTCAGGGTCGTTGGAGATCGGCGCGCACGTCTCTTCGAGCCGAAGGATCATCGTGATCCTGAGTCCAGCCTGCCTGGGGAACGTTTGGAACGAGGCGAGCGTGGGCCCCATCCTGAACCAGTTATCGTCGCTCGCGACACGAACGATAGCGATCGTGACCAAGGATTTGCCGAACGCGACCACGATCGCGAAACGATCGAATCGGGGCTGCAACAACTCGACCGAGCTCTCCCTCGATCGCCTCAAGATCCTCCATTGGGACGAGGCGTGGAACTCGTCCGGTTCCGGTGACCATAATAAATTTTGGTACAAGCTCCGGCTCGCCATGCCCCCCGTCCGGCCGATCAGCACCGAAGGTGGATGCCAATCGGTCGCCATGATCGTCCAAGCGAATGGAAAGTGCGGACAACAGAAGGCTCGCTCGCGCGAAAGTCTCGAGGTTCTAGTATAAGTTTAAGGAAGATGAGTTTCAGGGAGAAGATATGTGTATTCCTACGTGTATTCATCCATCCATCCATCCATCCATCCATCCATCTATATATACATACATCCGCGTTTCTTACTTCCGCTTTTGCGCGAAGCGACGCGGCATCGTGCCAAACGTTCGATCGTCGACGCGTTTCCCATCGTGTTCCTCCCGTTTCTTGATGTGGAAACGATTTAGAATCCTTCCCCGAAAATTTGACATTTTTTTGTTTTTCGACGAAAATCGATCGTTCCCCGTACGAATCAATGTTTCACAATGTGTTTCGTTCCTGTTTTCGTTATAATGGAACGCGTTGACGCCGCTTCCTCGACGCGAATTCCTCTTTTCGCGATATCGGGGCGAAAAAGAGATTGAAAAGAAGATTTGGAAAAGTGAGGTTAGGATTTGAAGATTTGCGAGATACGGACGAGTTCCGTAAGTCGGTGGTATCTAGTGAGCGTAAATATCAACTTTTCCAACGAGCGAAACTTTCTTTTTCGTATCGCGAACGAAATATTCCATCTCATTTTGTATCTCTTGCTCTCTACAGTATAGTCGACAACGATCCCTTGCGACGCTCGAGGAAAGAGGAAACGAACGACATCCGCAGTCTTCCTTCTCGCACGTGTACGTGACACTTCGAAGCGAGCGAAAGAAAGAAAAGAATCAAGATGTGAGAACAAGTTACATGATAAAAGATGAGGAGAGAGGAAAACGAGTCCCTCTCGTTTCTCTCGTCTCTATATACATATACGTATACATATATATAGTATCGCTTATTACATAGACTTTCTCGTTTTCTATGTTTTTGTATATATCGAACAATTCGGGTGCTTCGTTATTCTTATTTATTTACTTAACTAGACCGTATTATTTATATACCGTTTAGATGTTAATCGATCGTTCGAATGAGATCAAGAATTATGTAAAAGTCTATGTTTTTAGACGTACTTTTCTAAGAGGATTTTACGCGCGGTTTTTAGCGAAAAAAACAAAAAAATTTACTTAATCGTAAGACTAATGATAATAACACATAAGTATTTTATACTGGTTTGTATATATATATATGTAAAAGGAGGAAAAGGATAAAGGATGCGTGTGCGAGTGTATACATACGCGTGTATCTGGTATGCATGTGTATATATATAATATATATATATATATATATATAATAGTTTTTGTATCTTTCAGAATAATCATGCCTCGAATGATCACGAGGCGCTTTACAGAAAATCCTGTAATTCTAATGATAGAAGTAACGATTATCCGCAACATATAACCTAACCGCATAATTGTACCTATTCTAAATGTTAAACACACGCGCAGATTCCGCAACGTGAGCTTAATTTTAATATCATAGTAATCTCTTTACTGTCAGTATTACGATACACTAGTGTACTTGTTTCGCGAGAATATGCCTGGACGATTGATCCACACGCGTCACGGGCAATTGTTGCGAGCCGAGTATAAGCAGAGTATATATAGACGTTAGGAGGTATACTTGTTTGTTTAGAGATATACAAAATGACGAAGCGACAAGTATCCTTTAATCGTTCGTTGTCGCGTTTCTTTTTTTCTCTCCCTTTCTCTTTCTCTCTCTCTCTCCTGGTTACGATAAAAGACAATCGTTCTTAAGATTTTTTAAAGAACAATATGGTGAAAAAATTGTGTATGTAAGTGTAATATGTGTATGGCTCGTTTCCGTTTGATTAAATCGCACACACTCTGAACAGAATCGACGATACAAGGCTCTACACGTACCAAATATATCAATCGTCCGTTTCTCTTCGCATCTTGTTTGATTGGAGAATAAACGGAAATTGTTGTTCGAGAATTCGATAATAAACAGAGACTATTTATATTTCCAGAAATCGTGGTTAAATTGTCACTTTTTCTTATTAACGAAATTGCGTTTCGCAAATTTGCCGAGATCACTGCCATTTTTAATTGTTGAACGACGACGACGACGACGACGATGAGGATAACAATAATCGTCGTATAATTGTTATTTTCTATATTTTCTATAATAGAAAATGTTAAATGTGAATGAAAAAAAAAAAATTCTTTAAAAATGAAAAAAAAGACACGATGTATCAACAAGATAAATGTTGCATTTATATTTTCCATTTATAATATAATTAAATTACATAGGCACTTGTACATAATACGATTAATTTCATTTAAGCGTACGATATATCATCTTGTACGAAAAATAGGTCTATTATGTAAAATAATAAGTATAAGACATGAACCTTTTAGATTCTTGAATAGAAAAAATTGCACTTCTGACACAGTACAAACTGGGAAAATTCGTTTGATCGATGATAACACTGTTCTCGTTTGCTTCGTATTACGAATTTAAGATTCGATTCGATATATACAGATGAGGAAAGAATCGAAAATATCTCAAACTCGTAATTCTTTTTTTTTTTTTTTTTCCAATTTTTATGTACATAAGTGGCAATTAAATACAGAACCGCGGTTTTTTAATAAAATTGTTTTGATATGAGCATAAATCGATCGAAACATTCTACTTAAGAAATGATATAACCATTCTTCTGAAGAATGGTTTTTTTATATTACATAGCACCGATACGTGGAAGAAACGAGAGTTACAACGGTGAGGTAAATCTTTACTCTCTAATTATAATACGGTATGTATAAAAAGTAATGTCGTATCACATGTATAAGTACGTATCTTGAATCTTGTTACAATTATTTAAAGCAATATTTATCGGAATAAAAATATGATTTCAAATTCGTTCATAAGGTATATCAGTCTATGGCAATGATTGATATTATCGACGAACGTGATATTCGATAAAAAAAAAAATGAGCCCTGAAAATAATATGTACTTCGTTAAAAGTACTAGTCCTATAAATTGATAATTGTATAAAGATACTATCTAATAAGACTATGAAACGTAGTCTTTCAAAGAAAAGAATGAATTTTCAATTTCATTCCGTGAATATTATATTTATAAAGTTATCAAAGTGTAGTCGACGTTCGATTCTCGTAGCTTAAACGTGCAATTTCTTTCAAAGCTTCTGCCATTGCCGGCCCTGTTTCGTTTATCATACTGTTTAGATGCCCATTCTTTTGAATCAATACGTGAGGAGCATCGAATTCCTACGGAATTAAAAACAAATTTTATCCATTATCCTTTCCCTTTTTTTCCCAACTTTCAATTATAGAAAATTTATAAGGATACTTACCACCGCATTACCGGCGTCCATCACCAAAATTCGATCACTGTCCATCACAGTATTGAGACGGTGGGCAATAGTGAGAACTGTACATTTGGCAAATTTTACACGAATTGTTTTTTGGATAAGCTCGTCGGTTTGTGGATCGACGTTCGCGGTTGCCTCGTCAAGAACGAGGATCGGATTGTTTTTTATTATCGCGCGTGCTAGACAGACCAATTGACGTTGTCCAACACTCAGATTAGAACCACCTTCGTTAATGTGAGATTGTAGGTTATATTCTTTCAATTCAACTTCTTCTAATGCTTGCCAAAGTTCATCGTCGTTGTAATTATCGAAAGGATCTAAATTCTTTCTCAACGAACCCGAGAATAAGAAAGGTTCTTGAGGAATAATACTAATCTTCGAACGCAAATCGTGAAGCCCAATCTCGTGAATCGGAACACCATCTATTTTAATAACACCATCGAGATACGCAAAGCGAAATATTGCCGATATTAACGATGATTTTCCAGCACCTGTTCGTCCAACAATTCCTATCTTTTCGTGCGAATAAATCATAAGATTCAGATTCTTTAGTACAGGACTCTCGGTTGGACTATATCTCATCGATACATTTTGAAACTCAATTTTACCCTCTTCGGGCCAACTTTCACTAGGTTTTTTATCCGGTGTGCTTTCGAAGGGTGGTTCGCTCTCCAAATTGCTAAAAATACAATTAATGAATTAATTGAACGTAATGAAAATATTTGTACAGAAATCGTGCTAATTTGCTCGTGGATACTTACGTATACTCCAACACACGTTCTACCGAAGTCATTTGATTTTCTAGCTCGGTACTTTGTCTCATACCCCACTGGAACATTCCAGTTAATCCGAGACTTTGCGTTATGGCCAAACCCACGTTACCTTTCCCCGCAGCAGTGTCTAGTAGCAAGAAACTCAAAGTAACCAAGGTGATGTAAATAACGCAGAAGAAATCCAGCCAGAATGCAAACGCTCTTGAAGAAGATATGAATATGTACCATGCTGATGAATGTAAATCTTGGTGTTCGTCAAATTCTTTCGTCAAAATTTCTTGAGCTTTAAAGGCACGAACTGTTGGCAATCCTTCCAAGGTTGCACTGAGATGTGCAAAGACCGGCGATCGAGCTAACATTTATTATCATAAATTGATTAATTATTTCGCGACTTTTAAATCATTAAAAGTTCCTTCTTTTAGATATGAAAAACAATAGAACTGAAGACTGGATGAAGACTCTCTTTCTCCACTTTTTTTAAGAAAAAAGATCGTGTTAAAAATAAGTACTCACTAACTCCATCCAGACGTTTGACACTGCGACTAGTTGCCAGATAGAAAACACGAAGATAGTAGAAAATTATTCCGATTATCACGGTGGGTATTAGTAACCAATAATTAGCTACTGCAACAACAGCTACAATCCCAAGAAGGGACAAGCCGATTTGTAAACAATCGATTAAAGCTATTGGTAATACTTCATCGATAGCACCCATATCCTTTGAAAATCTATTAAGAACACGTCCCGACGTGTTGGTATTGAAAAATCTCATTGTTGCTTGACTCAAAGATTGGAACATACGGTCGTGCAATCTAATTGATGCTTTCATACATGTCGTAAAGAAGGTAAATGAACGTATGAAAGTAATTATAACGGTAGAAATGACTAAGCCAGTGTACAAATATATACAATATTCACGGCTTAACGGACCTTTCCACTCTATCTCGACTTCATTGTTCGTCTCGTTTACCTTTGGATAAATATATTTACTCGTTATAATTAAAGCATAAAAATTTGATAAAAAGTAAAGAAATGATAATAATTACATATTTCTCTTCCATATTGACCCATTCAGAGATAAAGAAATCGCTACCACTAGCGAGACCTTGTGCAAGCACACAAAATATAGCAATGGTAGCTACGAGACACCAATTTCCACCTGCACGGAAATATTTTGCATACACTTCACCGGAAACTTTGCCCTTCGACTGCATTTCAGCTATCTATGTACAAAATATAAAC